CAATTGGTCATTATTCACATGTGTTTCAAGAAAAGTCAATCATCCCGTATCAATAGCCGATTGTATTATTTGGCGAAACATGTTGCAATCTTTGGTGCTATGTTTGAATGAATTATGCAACCTGCAATATATTCGTTCTTGTATGGATGGCAAGACATGGTGATCAGAAATTCTAATTAAATTCTTCTCTACCAAAACATCAAGTATATGATCGCACATGCTCAAATAAAAGGTAGGGGGCTAGGTAGATAGGGGAGCGCGTCAAGTGTGATTCAGGCTCTATAGTAGCCAGAGCCACCCACCTCCCCGGCGAGTTCTCCGTAACAGCCGACGGCTTCGCCCCCAGCCAGACCCTCAACTTCGGGAGCCAGGGCTACGTCGCCGACTGCTATGGTGAGCTTCAACCTCTTAAGGAGGTCACACCGGTGGACAACAAGTCCCTAGTGCCATCTCCTCCACCAGGCCTCTTGGGAGTAGATCTAGAGGTCCTCGCCCGGCAGATCTAACATGGTTTAGGCCCGAACCCCACCGTGTCAGAGCACCGCCAGTTGTTCTACAAGTTGATAATTGTGTCTCGGTAACACTGAAATCTACCAAGTATAGGTTGTCATATCTAAATACTTTGAATATCAAGTCCGAACCATCAACACTTATGATCTCAACATCATCTACCCCAAATGTGCATTTGAAACCAAGATCACATAGATTGGAGATTCAAATAGCAACACATTGGATATGCTCATGTCATTGTATATTGCAATCTTACCAAACCTTTGACCTAAGCTTGCCTTTGCCATTGTCAGCAAATGTGATACTATCAAATCCATCATTGTCACTTGTGTTGATTGAATTGAACATTCTTGCATCACCGGTCATGTGTTATGTGCACCCATTATCAAGCATCAAATGCGTTCCTCCAGCTTTATAGTTGACCTACAAAAGAAAATCAATTCTTTTTAGGTACCCAAACCGTTTTGGATCCTTGAAGGTTAGTAACTAGGCTCTTGGGCACCCAAATCGTTTCCTTATTTGAGCCCACAATAGGTGCACCAATGAACTAGCCTTCACACCATTGGCACCCTTGGTAAGCAAACAACAATAATCAAAATGAATTGAGGATACATTAGCATTTTTGTTCTTGTTCTTGCAATATTTGCTCTATGTGCTCAACTTGCTTACACCTATTGCAAAATCGACCATTTCCCTTCACAAAACTAGTCTTGTGAGTAGCAAACACTACTGGAACACAAAAAAGTCCCTGTCGGTTGTCGATGTCCCCAGTTATCAGCCGTGGCGGCTAGTCACCTGGCCTCCTGGTCCCTCAGTCGAAGCCTCACGTCCATCCTTCACAGCTCCTAGTCCATCGGCACGGCACATCCCTACTTGACCTTCACCTCGCCATCGACCACTGCCTCCAAGCTCCACACCTACGCACTACAAGCCAAGAGACATGTTGCACAACCCAACTCATGCCATGGTTAGTTCACAAACTCAACCCAAGACGCGAATCACGTTGACAATCACTCATCATAAATTCGAACCACAAGGGCACGTATCAACCTTGTGTTCACGCACAACCACTCGCACGTCGCTCATCTTGAAAGATGGTGCATGGTTTTCGGCCACCATCGAATTGCTCCTCTGTAGCTTAGCTTTGGCTGCGAATGTCATTGTTGTCTTCACTCTCATCGAGTCATCGGTGGTGGCAACCTACGAGTTGATTGACGATGCCCGGGTGGCCACCTACCCTATCCCCATTGACTTATGCGATAGTGCTAGCTCCCGGACGTCTGGACGGACGGACGCCCGCGTCTGCACTCTGCCCCCGCGCCAGCCCGTGTATGCACCCAACCCCACCCCACGCGGCGTTGACGCCCCCGACCGACCCCACCTGGCGACTGTGCTCCGCTCGACCCCTCGTGCCCCTCTAGTAGCTGCAACAGGCAGGTGACATTGCAATATGTGCAAACATCTGATCTATTTTTCAAACATCTAGATGTAACAGTTGCAACATACATCTGAAGACAAATGAAACACTTGAAACAGACTTTTGAAACACTTACAAAAAAAACATATGTAAAACGCTGAAAAACATTGCAAACATACACAACATACAGATAAAACACTTACAACATATGTGTAAAACATGCAACATCCAGATAAACACACTTGCAACGTACGTCTAAAAAACACAGATGAAACATTGGGAACAGATACTTGCAACATACGTGTACAACCATTGCAACATATGCAACATCCTCCGATCTACCTTTGCAACATTCATATGAAATACTTGCAACATACCTCTTAAACACTTCCAACATGTGCTTTCAGCGTAACATCTCGTTGCTGCTTGGAAGAATGGAGGCTCGTCGGCGTGCTGGAAGAGTTCGTTGGAATATAATCCGTATTCTAACATGAGTCTTGTGGAGACGTCTGGAGAGCACACAGTTCGGGTTTATATTAATAAACAGATTTGTTTTCGTATTAGACATAGTTTGTCCGCTCTATAAATACATCTCGCAAGTCGCACGTGAAAAACAGAGGACTCAATGTATTCTCTGCGATCTGTAAACTCTCCTTGCATAGTGAAGATCATCGGTTGGTGCCCGTGGTTTATTTCCCGCAAGGGTTTTCCACATAAAAATCCGTGTCTTGTGTTAGATCTTTATTTGCATTATTGCAAACACCTACAAACATGAATCATGATATATTTGCAGTGGAACAAGGAGTACGTTTAACAACAGCTAGCAAAGCAATCTGCTGGGAATGTTCTGGTATTTCGGTATATATAGAAGGGATATAAACGGGAGATGATCACCCTAAACTGTCTAAATGTGATATATCATTAGTAGTAGCCATATAATTAAATTCCAACTAAAATTGTACAGATGAAGCCCAATTTGTATCACAGTAAATAACATTTTTGAAAGGTAGGAAATACAAATTTCAGAGAGTAGTGGCCACATGCAACCACCGTTACACGAATCCAGGGCTCCATCTCAACATCTAGGTAGTACAAGCCACAAATATATTGTATAGTATTCTAGGAGTAATGCTTAGCTACTCTAGTGGGCGGAATGATCTTCTGAACCTGATGAGGCGCCCAATCAATGAACCAATGTGTAGTAAGCAGCTAGCTAGTCCGTCCTGTGTGCTGCAGGGGTGGCCACCTGTCACAATATTACTTGTCCTTCAACTAGCTAGAGGATCCCTTAGCTAGCTTGGTTCTTATTTGACTGACTTTCTCATGCCTATGCTATCATCTATCAGGCTTCAATTCCATGTATATGGAGTTGAAGTTCTTGTGTAGCTTGTTGCTTGTAACAAAATATATTGTTACTCTGGCCAGTGTTGCTTTGGGAATCATTTTTGCTTATGATGGTTTTGGGCGGCCCAGCCGTGAGCAGCAGTAGTGTTCAAGTCATGGTCAGTTTGGTAGTAGACAACATCCCCATGGTCGCTGACGAAGTGGTCGACTCTGAGGCTCCTGAGTAGCACGCCAAGGAGGTGGAGTGGCAGCGGCCCTGACTTCTGCGGCTCCCGGTAGTATCGCCCCAGCACTGGCTTGGCTGCCTTGGTCTGTTGTTTTCAAATCAAATTTAAAAAAAATGTTTTGAATGAATGTTCATAAGCACTATGAACTGAGTATAATTCAGTAGCAAGGAGTATTCAGCAGAGTATATATAGTATGGATCATGGTTGAAAGCAGCAGCTTACAGCTTCGACAAGATGGTAGTGCGGGATCTGCGGGAAGAGGTGGTGGATGACATGGGTGCCGATGTCGTGGTGGATGTTGTTGATCCAGCCGTAGTCCCTGTCCACCGTCGTGAGCCCGCCGCGCAGGTAGCTCCACTCCTCGCCACGGTACCAGGGGAGGCGCTCCTGGTGGCCATGGTGGTGCAGGTACGTCACCAAGTCAAGCCACATCACAAACACCTGCATACATGCAGTTAGGGATGCATCTATCACCAGTCCTTTAGTTTCAATTTTGGTACTCGCTGAGTTGCTTGTTTTCGTCACAATTCCACAATGCAAGTACTAGCTAGGGAAAAAACTAAAGTAGTGGTTGCTTATAAGCAAACATTAATTAGTGTGAGAAAATAGAATTGACAAGGATAGAAGTGGTTGGTTGCATAGTTTTCTTACAAGGTATGGGATGCCGTACATCTTGAGCACCTGGAGTGGGCCGAATGCGCACGCCATGGCGAGGAGGGAGGCGAGCATGATGCACCAGCAGGTGGTTGAGAGCATGACGTCGCCCTTCTCCTTGGGGCTGAACAGCTTGCTGCTGGGAAGAAAGTGGGAGCCCGTCTTGCCGGGGCTCCTGTACAACTGCATCCAAGCACAACCAACTATGTAATTGAGTTTGTTTTCATCAGTTGGGGACTGAACATTTGAATTTTTTTTGTATTCAGATTAACACGTACGAGATAGACGGGGAATGCGAGCAGCGGGAAGGGGACCGTGAATCTTAGCTTCTTGGTGCGTGGCTCCAGTTGCCGGTACAGCCCCTCCGTGATCTGTATTATATTGCAGGCAGGCAGCTCCAATTAAGTTTTAGAAAATACTGGCATGGATTCTAAAACAGATACTACTATATTTTCCATCACATATGAACCGAAAGCAACGACAGTATGTAGCAATGTATGTCCGCAAATTAATAAGTACTATAATCCAACTAATGATCATTAATTTAGCACAGCCATATATACTGCAAATCAGAGCCCGAGAAAAGTAAAGCATCGCTCTTATCTTGTGATTACCACTCAGATATCTGGAGGACGTGAATTATATTGAAACTTTTCTCGTTTACTTTTTTTTCCTCATTACATCTTGATATTGATAAAACATGATGCAGCTAGTAGTGGCCCCTGACGACACAAGAAATAAAAGTGGATGCTTTCTGAAAAGGGCATATATACCACTACAAGTGTGTTTGGGTTGGTACTTGCATTGGTAGCCAGCAGTATAAAATTTTGGCAGTAGTAACTTAATTAATTGTTGGGATCCAACAATGGTAGGCAGTGGTACCTTATTTAGCAGTCATATATGATTTAGTATTTATTAGCAGCAACTCTCGTGATGGGTTACATGGTGCATAAACAGATATAGCTAGATCTAGCTGCTGCTGCTGATGGTGCAGTGGTGGTGATGGTAGGAGCCAGTACCCAATGCAATTCATTATTATTGGTTCAGGCATCATGGACCACATCTTTCAATTAATCTCTGCATCAGTCAGAGCTAATAAGAAGCTGTGGTTGATTAGTAGCCTGCAATGCCATGTGACTGCCTGGAGCGCCTAGATCTGCAGCAGTCTATTTGAAAGCTAGCTGGTCGAGCATCCCATGAAAAGCAAAGGACAGTTGCACAAAAGGATGGACAAATTTAAGCTGAAATATTTGCTAATAATACTGCATGGTATTGCTATATCGTCTCTAGAAGAATATTTTTTTTCTCGAATACGCAAAAAATTTGCATATCATTTTTTTCGAATACGCAAAAGATTTGCGTATCATTGTATTAAGTAGAAGAGTTTAAGCAAACATATAATGCACTTCTATCAAGCGCCGAAGAAGGTCGATCTAACACAGCTGTAGCTGGACCGTCCTAGCAAAATATCTCTTGTTTCGACAGTTGTTGGATCTGATCCAGTGGCCTAAATGCTGCTGCTCGGTGAAGCTCAACCACATTTATCTTACTTAAGTCAGTACGCACTCCTAGCTACTATATGTGTAGCAGCTACATACTAGCAGCAACAAAAAAATACATATTTATATTTAAGATGTACTAGTAGTAGTATACGAATAGATAGATAGATAGATAAATAGATAGATAGATGTACTGAGTGACTGACCGGGTGCCATGACTCGTCCCTGTGGATGTGGCCGTGGTTCTGATGGTGTGTTCTGTGGCTGATCCTCCTGCATCATTCGTGCATGCCCACCAATAATTAACCACTCAACTCCTCAGTCACAAGCTAGGTACGTGTTCCAGCTCAGGTTAATATTTATTATGCATGAAGATGTATCATCAAAGACCAGCTAATTAAGCAGATATCAAACCTACCTGCTAATGACGATATATGTGTGCATGGCAATGGATTTCTTTGTTTTTTTATATGTTGAGATGTTTTGTATACACTGCATACATGACACGGCTAGCTAGTAGGCTGTGCTGAGGTGAACAATGAAGACTGCATGCAACTATAGATATTTTTATTATACATATGGACAAATTTAAATTTAATTACGCAGCATAGCTAGTACATGCATGGATGCTACACTGGTATGCGTGCATCATCATAGTATCATATCAGCAGAGATTCTCTCTCTATATATGTTAATCAATCAAGCAAAGCAACCTTTTGAAATGAGTTTGAATGACTAGCATCTTTTGACCACCCTGACCGACAGATAGGGATGAAAACGGTACGGATATTTTCCGACCGTATTCGAGATCGAATCCGTTTAAAGGGGTTCAAATCTGTTCGTATCCGAGTCCGGATATTCAACATCCGATACCGTATCCGTATCCGAATACTCAAATCGCATATCTATGATGTCGATATCCAATCGTATCCTATCCGATATGGTTGACACTATCCGTATTCGAATCCGAATCCGGACAGAAATATGAAAACAAATATAATATCAATGATATCCGTTCGTATCTCATCCGTTTTCATCTCTACCGACAGATGACATGGAATGGAATACTATAACGTGTGGCCCATGCATGCGCGCGGCATCTTCTGGCTTGCTGCTGCACTGCACCTACGTCCACGTACGTGTGTGACGTGTCGAGTGCCGACGGATGCATATGCGTATGCAGCATGATATACGTATGTCTCTATATGTAAAAATGTTATTACTCTACATATGCTCTATGCTCCTCCTACATAGACCATCCAAATAAATATCTATGACACCGATCGAGATCGTATCGTATCGAATTTTTGGCCGGAGAGAACCAAGGAATTGAAAAAGAAAAAGCAACATGCATGCAGTGTGTGCTCTCTTCCATCTTTTGTTTGCCTGCCTTACTTTATTACTGCGTGCAGACCCATAGTTGTCGTTGTTGATGCCTTCCATATATAAATAGTGCAAACAAAGCGAGAAAGAAAAAAAAAGCTATATAGGCATATGCATGCATCAAGGGATGGATGTGAATTGAAGAAGATGTATGCATACCACCCATGGTAGGGGACGAGAATGAAGGAGTGAAGGAGATGCCCCACCACACTGTTGAGCGTCGCGCTGTCCGAGAAACTCCCGTGACCACTGCAACAATACATTACATTACATATACATATATACATGCATCGTCGTCGTCAGGTTGCATGCATGTATGGTCGTCGGCGTCGGCGTCGTACTCGCAACCAAGAAAAGAAACAGACGATGAGTGGTGGTCCCCGCCAGGAGGACGGAACGGCGTACCAGTCGTGCCCCAGGACGAAGAGCGCCCAGAACATGGTCCCCTGCGCCGCCCAGTAGAACGGCCACACCGCCCAGCTATCCACGCCCGCCACCGCCGCGCCCAGCGCCGCCACCACCGCCACGTCGCGCGCCACGTACCACAGCGACCGCCAGAGCTCTTGCGCCAGCAGTGCTCCGGCACCGCCGCGCGCACATCGCCGATGCGGAACGGCGGCGGTTTCCCGGCGTCGAAGGCGGCGTCCACCCGCCCGCGGCCCCTCATGATGTCGTCCTCCGTCGCCTTCGCCGCCGCCTCCTGAAAGATCACCTGATCTGGCCGGCTCATCGTCGTCATCTGTGTCGCCGCCATGTGCTGCTGCTGCTGCTTTTGCGGTGGCGTCGTCGTTTGGGTCTGCGTCTGCGTCTGCATTATATTATTGGTGGTGCTGCGGCCGCCGGAGCTGGACAAGATGGATCGGAGAGACGGATGGAATTGGTGGTTTGATTTGCTAAGACATGAATGGGAGGCGTAACGTAAGACACTGGGCCTCTCTCTCGCTCTCCCACAAATAAATAAACCCAACACACAACACAAAATATATGTGTCGTCCCCTCTCCGGGCGCGGCGTCTCTTGCGGCTACTTATAAGCTAGCAGCAGGCAGGCAGAGCGCAGAGGCAAACCATCCATCCATTCCAAATCAACCCGACCCACACCACACGCACGTACCACAGCATGCACAATGCTGACGACATTATATTGTAGCCACTGTGATGATGATGATGGTTCATGAACTCCATCTGCACAAGTTTTAGCTAAACATTTTTCTTGATCACGCAAAAGGTTTGCGCGTCTTTGTATTAAGGTAGACAAAGTTTAATACAACACACCTTAGCAGCGCCCTAAGTGGTCAGAAGAGTAGTATATGGACGCTCAGACCCTCCCTAGTGTACTGAAATCTATGCAGTTACATTGAACATTGATCAAACCGACTTGCGGCGCCGGCTAGGAGGCCTATGCAGGCTACCGAGCACAAGGGCGGCGCCTTCTTGGCGCCCCACGTCTCCGTCTGGTGGAAACAACTCACGTAGCGCCTGCATATTACTGGGGTCACCGCTGAAGATTTCATCGTACACCTTCAGGGCCGACGTCGACGGCGATGACATTTCGTTAGGCAAGTCCCAAAGCGCTTCAAGACAAGGTGCTCATCTCGTTTGGACACCAGGATATGCAAAATATGCTCTGCGCCATTATCCGCTTTGCTCCTCTTGGGTAGCACGGCGGTGTACATCTAGCGTCGGGCAGTATCAACTCCGGATAGCTCCGGTGGTGGCGCCTAGGCTTTGTGATTCTCGTTAAATTGAAGCGTTTGAGGCGTCTATCCGCAGAGGTCGTGCGAGGGATGGAGTCATTTGGCGGCTCCTACGGTGGCTGCCCCAACCAGCAATGGATCGAGACGCCGCGTCTCCACTTCCATGATGTCGGGTTGTTCCCCACAATGGCGGCGTGGCGGGCCCCTACTGCTGCGACATTGGTGGTGAGACCATCATGCACTGAGCAAATTCTTCATCGGAGCGGGTGTCCACCCAAGATGCGTCCACATCCTAAGAGGCCACCGGTGGCGGGCACCTAGGCGCAAGTGCTCTAGGCAGGCGACTTCGTGACGCAGCGAGGCGATGAGTGTGGCAGAACACGCCCGAAATAGTATGCTTAGGAGGTGCTCGTCTTCCACCGCAGACACTAAGCACCCGAAAGGGCTATATCGGACGGTTCTATCGAGCACACCCAAAGGAGAACTCGAATAATCCACGTTTTCCTCTAGGATCCAATAATGAGAACGAGTTTACAATACTTAGTCCATTTCATATAACAAGAGTTCTTAAAATACATTATTATAATACCAAGTTCAGTCACGCGAAATTTAAACAATGAATTACAAGAAACATCTAACGATAAGATACAAGGATCCGTCTGTGCCCACCAGAAGAATCCTCCACACAACAGTTACTCGTCAAGCTGCACCTGCAATAGGGATAAATAGACCCTGAGTACACAATGTACTCGTAAGACTTACCCGACTAGTGAGAATAATTTCTCGACTCCAAAGGATATGATAAGCTTTATAGTTTGCTGGGTTTCCTTTTTTGAAAAGCATTACTAAAAGTGAATCCTCATGTTTGTTTTTATTAGCAGTCATGATTAGTTCATTAGCTAACCATTCTATGTAAGCACATGTTCTACTTTTAAGCAAGAGTTGAGCAATCAGATCTATTTCACCATCTTTGATCTTCTAGTTCTTACTACGGTGCTAAATCGTAGACAAGTCGTACCGTATTACACGGTGATTTGTGAACCATGTAGCCCAGCTGGGTACCCCAAAACATGCACCCCGCTTGTACCCCAAGCACAAACATGACCAATCCACCACTCTCCTGTCACGGGGTCCAGGTCCCCGTCCAAACTTGGACTCCAAGCCCCACACCTGAGTCTCAGACTTAGTGTGGTGCTTAGACCTTCATCATCTCTGCCTCCAATCAGTCGATCCGGAAAGAGCCGGAACCCACGACAAGAGAGCAATGAGCCTTCCCTGCTCCCATAAACAAGTATGTGCTCAGGATAATAATTTTGTGACCTAACTAGAATCCAATGCAACGGACGGTCCTTAACCAACACGGACAGGGAAAACAGTGTAACCAAGCTATGCCCCGTTGGCCGTGGGACACAACCTCTTACACCCATCAATACCCGTAACATATCCGTGCCCGGTCTCCATTTCTTTTCACCATTTTATCATGAGAGTGATAATAATAATCACCTATTGTGTGTAACGGCAGGTTACTCACGCTACCAAAAAACCTAAGCATAGCAGCTACTCGACCTATGCTAGTAGGACTCATAGGTAGGTTATCTATGCATATAGTTTCAATATAAATCCTGTAACGTAAATGTACATCACATATATATCCAGTGATTAATCAAAATAAGGGTTATGCACCGGGCTTGCCTTGGGCAGACGTGGTGTCAGCTCAATCAATCAGTGGCGGCTCTGGAACCTCCTCCTGCATGAGGATCTCCTCCTCGTACTCCTCGATCACCTCCTCGAACTTGTGATCTTTGATAGTCACGATCTCCGCCAACTCATTCTCTACATGCATGCGATGATGATGCAACACTTAGTATTTTAGCAACAGCAACTCCTAAAATAAGAATACACATGGTAAACTACTAAGCTAGCTCTAATGACTAAGATACTAAACTAACTATCATCTTCATCAAGTAAAGTATTGGGTTCAACTAATAAACTCCTAGCTTTACAAATGAAGGATATATCTTTATTTCTACTAATGATTTAATGTATATTTGAAACAAAGAGCATTTAACTACCCTTATGATAAGTCTATTCTAAAGCTACAAAAATTATAGTGAGCACATAATAATACCATGAAGCTACTGTAAAATTTTCAAAGCTAAAGCTATCACCATTTTGCCACAAAAATTCCTACAATATTTAACCTAATAATATTAAGCACTCTCAAATAATTTAATAGCTCCTGGTACCAATAAGTATATATATGAACTAAATATACTAACACATAGAGCATAATTTTAGGAACTTAACAAAATTTGTTTCACAATTTTTGGATACCTACATGATTTTATATGATTTACCAAAAATCAGCTCAAAAATACAATTGAAAAGCTATTTCTATTCTGCACGAAAAAGATAAACTCATTTCGGCCCAATGTGGCCCACATCGATGATCATACACAAAGTGCTACCATGCCCATAGGCGAGGCATGGCCCATGCGCGGAGGCGGCCCGCGGCAAGGAAGCCCACGCGCGCTGGCACTCTTGCAAAAATGCCCTCGCGTTATCAGCAAATAGCGCGAACACTACACGTACTATTTCTATAGACAGCGACTTTGCAACGAAACCCTCGGATCTTCTCCTCTTTACAACGGCAAGGCCCTCGATCATCCCGCGCACGCCGGCGCGGCGAGCGGCAAAGCTACAAAATTGGAGCTCGGCGTGACGTTAGTCAAGGCGCTGTGGGGTCGGCTGGAGAATAGACGTGAGGGTGGAGACGCGAGCATGAAAAATTAAGGAGAGGTGCTCACTCTCTGGCTCACCGTGACGCGACCCGACGGCGGCGGAAAATAGAGGGGGAGAGAGATGGGGTGCGACAGTGGGTTCAGCTCGTCCAAGCCTTGGCGGGATGTGGCCGACCGGATTTAAGGCGGCTACATGACAATACGGCCAAACCACGTGCGTGCGCGCGTAGGCAGGTGGGGGCACGGCCGCAGCGCCATTAAGGCGCGACGACGACGCGGGGCAGCCTAGGTGCAAACTAGGACAAGGCAAGCAACAGCAGCACAACGTCGCAGTGGCATCAGTAGCGACAGTGTTGCGACACGAGGCGAGTCAGCAGTGCAGACATGATGGCGAGTTGATAGCGCCGACAGTGGCTCCGTCACGGCGCGTGCGGGACAGTCGGCAGCAGCGGCGGTAGCTCTGCGCAGTGGGGCCAGCGGTAGCCGAGAACTAGCCAGGCCAGAGGCAGCCATGGCTGGCTACACGCGGCAGCGTGTGCACGCACTCACACGACCAACGCAGCGACGCCGAGCGCCCGAGCGCGGTGATCGCGGCCACACGGCCAACCAGCCCGAAACCATGAGACACACAAATTTTAAAGCGCTCAACACGTCCAAACGGCTGCTCCTAAACCTAAACTATCTTCACCATGCTCAAGGTGGCACATGAGACTAACAAATCGAGCTATAACACTACACCACTCCTTAACCCAATCTCTCACAATAAATTGCTAAACATAGCAGTGTCTAACTATTGGCAGACTTGAAAATTTCTAAGTTTTTGAGCTGAATTTGATTTCAAGTTCCATTTCAAGACTATTAGAAATACCAGCTAGTAACATTATTTTTTGACCGCAAGTATTTCACTGTCATCTATAAAGTTTGTACTTCCAACTTTATTTAAGTATCACATACATGTTCTATAGCATTTTAGTGATACAACATGACTATCGAATCAACTTTCGTTTCGCATTTTAGGCCCTGTTTGGCATGATTCCAACTCTGGGTGGAGCTGCTCCACTCCAGAACTCCAGGTGGAGTTGGAGCTGTCTGATGAGGGTGTTTGGCTGGGAGGGTGTCCCCGGCTCTAGAAAAGATGAGTTTGAGGGTAGATTGCCATTCTTGCCCCTGGTTCAACTTGAACTACTTCTCACAAATATGAAATGAAAGTACATGCAGTGGAGTCCAAAATAATAATAAATTACATGTCATTTGCCTAGAACCGAAATTACGAAATAAGTTCATAGTTCCAAAATAAGGTCGTTACAATAATCATTGC